GTGTGGGTGTGTGTGTGTGTGTGTGTGTGTGTGTGTGTGTGTGTGTGTAGTGGCAAAGTCTTTCACAGTTTTGTGTGTGTGTGTGTGTGTATGTGTGTATATATATATGTATGTGTGTGTGTGTATATATATAGGGTGTCCCCTCCAAAAATGTATATTCACTTTAACAGCTGATAGTGCAGTTTGGAAAATGAAATGTAATTTAATATAAGCACTGCTTTTATAATTATTCGAAGTGTTTGTATACATTTTTTGGGACACTGTATTTCTAAAAAAAAGTAAATTAAAAAAAATATATTTTATTTATCACAATAAATATGGCACTTTACCTTGAGAAAGACCTGAAGTTTCTAGTGGAAGTAGGCATCAGAAAGGTTACAGCCTGTGAGTTACTGTGGTGGAAGGTGGGTGGACTGACTTTAGACAGAAAGTTGTAAGAGCCTGTGTGGGTAGGTGTGGCTTACTGTCCTCAGTTTGACCTTAACACCAAATTATAAGTAAGGCCTTTTGGAGCCTTGACTCCTGAGGCATGTTGGGTTATGTTTTTCTACCTTTAAGATATAAGTCCTTCAAGGCATGCATTTATAATAGATAGATGTTTCATGAAAATTGAAATTTTGACCTAATGTACAGCCTTCATTTCTTTTTAAATCTCAGCTTTATTGAGATATGACTGACATATAAAGCTGTGAGATATTTAAAGGTATATAAATATCATGGTGATATAACATACATACATGTTATGAAAGGATTTTTCCCATCTAGATAATTAACACATCCGCCCCTCACTTGTCTTTTTTTTGGTGAGAACATTTGTAGCCTTCTTAATGCAGTTTGTTTTTACTGGAAATTCCTTTGTGACTTCCTTATCTGCACTTGTGGCTTTGCCTGATAGCTGAAGGCTTTGGAAATTGTAATGTGTGAAGCCATCCACTACTAGCATTAAAATGAGCCACTTCTGCAGGATTTGGTGTTTTCTCTTTAAAGCCTTTGTATGTAGGTAGTGTTTTCTCTTTGTGAGAAAGGTTGTTCCTGATTTTTTTCACTGTTTTGTATATTTCTATGCATCTTGGTTCAGCTGGGTGTAGTTCTCTGTGTCCATGTGGTGTATCTCACTGATGGAATCATACGTGAGCAAATACGAAATTTGAGTTATGCTCATATTGTTTCCTAATTTATCAGTCATCTCATTTTCAAAGAATTGATTATACATGATTCTGTCTTTCATTTGAATTTTAATCAGTGACTGTTTCTCCTATCAAGAGCCAGTCTCACTTCTGTTTCCTTAATGGTATCATGATTAATTCCTTCTTTTCCCTAGGAATCACCTTAGTTTAAAATGGAAGGAAGTTGCCTCTCTTCTGTGGAGCAGGAGTATAGCAGGGTCCCTCATCCTCCTTGAGTATAATCTCCAGTGAACCAAAGTAGCACAGGTGAAGAGGCAGTGCTGGGACCAGATGGGACTGTTGCTGCTAAAGCCCTACGTGGCTTTCTCTCAGCTCAGAGACACTTTAGAATAGTGGGGAAAACGTATCCCCTTTACTCTCCAGTGCTTGTGAGGAAGAACCAGATTTTCTAAAATCCTGACTTCATTTTTATTTAAACTTAGGGTCATATTTCTGATGAAAATAGTCTAGAATAAAATTTTCACTTTTTCTGAGGCAGAGTTTCCCTAAAAGTGCTTAAAGAGGACTGTTTAGTTTTATTTAACCTAGTGTTTCCAGTTACTTGTACTATAGGACTTCTCAGTCTTTTATATGCTAATTTGCATTGTGGCTCTTCTGGAAGAGAGATATTCCCTGGCTTATTTGATTGTGTCCCAAACTGGGACGGTGGGACACATTTTTCTTAGTATGCCTACCAGGATCCTACTCTTGCTTCCCACGGTGGCCATTGGTCGCCATTTGGGAACTTTGTAGCTTGCAGTTGTTCATTTATTTCCAAATAAGTTTTATAGTAGCTTATTGACAGTGTGTATTTTCATTATATCTCAATTTAATTTGACTATATTTCCCTCTAATATTTTAGGAATTAGCTTCCAAAAAATCCCTGCCTATGAATTATTACACAGTATTCTACCATGTTCAAGAACAACTACCCAGAGACTGTATTATAGTAAGTGAAGGAGCAAATACTATGGATATTGGGCGCACTGTGCTTCAAAACTTCCTTCCTCGTCACAGGTAAAGCTTCCAAAAAAGAAATCATAGTGAATTATAATGTGTTAAATTTGAAACTTCATTAGTGCAGATTTCAAAACATGTGAGAATCATACATATCCAGTGTATAAGGACATACAGTGGTGCCTCGGTTTTTGAATGTGATCCGTTCCAGAAGACTGTTCGAGTTCAGAAACTTTTGAAACCCGAGGGATCAGTAGCTGACAGCTGGGCCTCAGGATCTTGCCCTCAACCAAAGCCATGTGGCATGTTCATCTTCCAAGGCGTGTTTGAAAACTGAAGCATTTACCTCCAGATTTACAGTGTTCGAAAACCGAGGTACCACTGTAGTTAGTAAAATTATTCTTAAGTGAGGTTGTATAGAGTTTTTATGCTGGTGTGTCCTCAAGATCATGCGATAATTTATGTGGTCAGAGTTCTAAGGATACAGTCACAGTCTTATGAGCAATCATGAGTGACTTTTTCCTCTTATTCTGCTGATCTCTGACAAATTAGTTCCTCACAGTCTAAAACTTGATATTAAAGAGAATGTTTTCACTGTTCTGTATTTTTCCATATATTGTGTGAATATGCCTAGATTTATGCCAGCCTCGCCATCTGTGACCCGCCCTGGAGGGTTTCATTCGCTTTATTCTCCAATAGGCTTGATGCTGGCACTTTTGGAACAATGGGAGTCGGTTTGGGATTTGCCATTGCAGCTGCTGTAGTGGCTAAAGATAGAAACCCAGGACAGCGGGTCATCTGTGTGGAAGGAGACAGTGCCTTTGGGTTTTCTGGCCTGGAAGTAGAAACCATCTGCAGGTAAACAGCATCCTGAATCAGAACATTTCTTTCTCCAAAATATGAAAAAATTATACATGAGACCCACTCGCCTAACAAATGCTTATCAAGCATTGATCACATCCCGGTGCCCTGTGCACAGCATTGTATAGATACTAGTATAAATAACCCCAGGGTCTTTCTCCTCCAGGATAGCATGCTTATGACCTCTTTACTGCATGCCCAAATCCTGCAAAACTATGGGGAGTGGAGGTCACTGAAAAAAAGTTCTGTCCGAGAAAAGCTTGTTTTCTGCAAGGATACAGCAGAACTTGGTTCTTAAGAGCATGGCTTCTGGGTCAGATGACCTGAATTTAAATACTGCAGAGCTAACTGACTTGGGTTAAGTCACTTAACCAAGCTTCAGTCTCCTCTGGAATAGGAACAGGAATAGTAATTATTCCTACCTTTGAGGCCAGTTGTGAGGAACAAATGGGATGATCTAGGTAAAGCTTGAGGAGACTGCTCAGAGAAGTGAGCTACTCAGGTTATTTTTATAGTTGTGAAGATTCATAGAGAAACTCACAAATTGTAGATCTTACTATAGAAGTATGGGGATTTTTTTCCTCCCCGAATATTTAAGCTAGGAAAACAATTCTATTTTTAGCCAGGGCTCCTTTTAGGGCTTTTGTAAATCATGCTTTGTGATTTTCAAAGTGTTGGTATATAAAACTTTCCAGATCAGAGGGAAAGTGTGTGCCTGTTAAAGTATCTGTATTTACAACCAAATAATGTTCATCTAAAACGTGATTTATGGGGAAGTCAGCCTTCTAGAGAGTGAAGTAAAACCATTCCCTTTGAGAGTGGAGAGCCTGTAGTTACCACAGTTCTGTTACATAACAGTATGCAGGTTAGTTTTGTTTTTATACCTGGTTTCAGAAATTATGTCTGTAGAAAATAAAGCCCATAGTCTTTTTTCAGTCATTAGTAAAGTTTAATCAGACTTTTTTTTTGGGGGGGTGGTCTTTGTCATACTTTTTAGCACATTGTTAAATATCCTTTTTCTCTATTACCCCATGTATGTTTTCCTAATTATGGGTGAAGTGGTTTGAGAGGAAAGGATGTATGCTAGTCACTTGTGTACCTCCCACAGCATCTAGCAAGTGCTGGGTGTCTGAGAACTCAATAGAAAGATACCTTATACCTTTCAAACAGTACTCCTAGACACCACCTACAAGTGGTGCTTCAGAGGTATCAAGCATGGAAGGCGTCATTCTAATTAACACCTGGATCTATGAAAACCAAGGTTCAGAAAAGCTCAGTGATGTGCCCAAGTTTCATAGTTGCATAGTAGTCGAACCAGGTCTATCGACTGCTAATCTTGCATTCTTTCTACTACTCCATGATATTTCTGTTAATGATTGATATTCTTTTATTAGGATAACAAATGCTTGATTTTTAGTTTTGCCCTAATATTACAAAAAAAAGTTTATGGAAAGCTATCCATTTTAAGTTTAAATTTCAGCTAGAAGAAAAGAAATTGCTTTAGAATGAAGAATTATTGCCTTTATATTTTTCTGTCATTTTAGGTACAACTTGCCAATTGTACTTTTGGTGGTAAATAACAATGGAATTTACCAGGGTGTTGATACAGATTCTTGGAAGGAAATGTTAAAATTTGGAGATGCTACTGCTGTGTAAGTAGCCCAGAACAATGTGTATTTACTTTCTCTCATCTCTTTTAATCTCTTTAAAAAGTCTTCTGTATTGGATTGTGCTTCTGTGGTGTGAGTGTTGCTTGTTTATGTCGTCAGACCCTCTAAAGGGCAAGAACCCTGTCTGCACGGTTCCTCTTTGCACAGCCATCCACGATAGTTTATGATCAGGGAGCCACTGAAGACTCAGACAAATGAGTTTGACGGCTATGCCTTGCTAATGAAAGAGCTCATTGCAAAGCGCTCCCAGTACACCATGTAGAAATATGGATGCTTACATCCAGAGGTCTTCCTTTTACCACTTAGCTAAATCTTGATCAACTGATAGAAGAGCCCAACTGGGACAGTACTGTAGCTGGCTGTGGGGTGTGAGAGAGATGTGAATTTGTGAATCAGCCTGGGAAGGTGGAGCAGGGTGTAGGTATGTTTGCTTATGCCTCACTGACTTCATTTGTTGTTTTGTTGTTACTTGCTGATTTGTAGTAACCGTTCCTTCTTTCCTTTTTCTTTTGGATTCATAATAGTTGATGGTTAGTGTAGTAGCCACTAGCCACATGTGGCTATTTAAATTAAATTAAAAATTCAGTTTCAGAGAGCCCAGAAATAAACCCTCACAAATATGGTCAGTTAATCTACAACAGAGGGGGCAAGAATATACAATGGAGAAATGACAGTCTCGTCTATAAATGGCACTTGGAAAACTGGACAGATACATGCAAAAAAATGAAGCTGGACCACTTTCTTACACCACATACAAAAATAAACTCAAAACGGATTAAGGACTTAAATGTAAGACCTGAAACCATAAAACTCCTAGAAGAAAATCTAGGTAGTAAACTCTTTGACATTGGTCTTGGCAGTATCCTTTTGGATATGTCACCTTGGGCAAGGGCAACAAAAGCAAAAATAAACAAATGGGACTACATCAAACTAAAAATCTTCTACACAGCAAAGGAAACCAACAAAATGAAAAACAACCTACAGAATGGGAGAAAATGTTTGCAAATGGTGTATCTGATAAGGGATTATACAGTGGTACCTCAGTTTTCGAATGTAATCTGTTCCGGAAGACCATTCGAGTTCTGGAACGTTTGAAAACCGAGGGATCCACAGCTGACAGCTAGGCCTCAGGATCTTGCCCTCAGTGGAAGCCGTGTGGCGTGTTTGACTTCCGACCGAGGCGTGTTAAAAAATCAAAGCATTTACTCCTAGGTTTACGGCGTTTGTAAACTGAAATGTTTGTCAATGGAAGTGTTCGAAAACTGAGGTACCACTGTATAAGGCAATCATACAACTCAGCATTTGGCAGGGAGGTAGAGAAAAGGGAACCCTCATGCACTGTTGGTAGGATTTTGAACTGGTACAACCACTATGGAAAACAGTATGAAGGTTCCTCAAAAAATGAAATGTACAACTACATTATGACCCAGCAATTCCATTTCTGGGTATTTATTAGAAGAAAACTAAAACAACAATTTGAAAAGATATATGCATCCCTATTGCAACATTATTTATAATAGCCAAAATATGGAAGCAACGTAGGTGTTCATTGACAGATGAATTGATAAAGAAGATGTGATGCGCACACACACACACACACACACACTGGAATGTTACTCAGCAATAAAAAGGAATAAAATTTTGCCATTTGCAACAACATGGATGGACCTAGGGGTTATTATTCTATTTTAAATAAGTCAGAGAGAGACAAATACCATATGATTTTACTTATATGTGGAATCTAAAAAAACAAAATGAACAAACAAAATAGAAACAGACTCATAGATACAAAGAACAAACTGATGTTTGCCAGAGGGGAGGAGGAAAGGATGGGTAAAAAAGATAAATAAGAGCTACAAACTTCCAGTTATAAAATATTTATTTTATAATATTTATTATATGTACATATTGTAGCCGCTGGGATGTAGTGTACAGCACAGAGACTATAGTCAGAAATATTGTAACAACTTTGCAGTGATAGATGGTTAATAGACACACCACGGTAGTCACATCACATGGTATATAAATGTTGTATACCTGAAACTAATACATAATGTTGTATGCCAACTATACTTCAATAAAAAAAAAATTAAAAACAGGAAAACTAACAAAAAATTCAGTTTCTTATTCTAACTAGTCACAGTTCAAGTGTTCACAGCAACAGGTTGCTAATAGCTATTATATTGGATAACACAGATATAAAACTTTTCCATCATCACAAAAAGTTATATTTGACTTTGCTATATAGACAATATAAAATATATGGACAGTTTAGTGTACTGGCGTTTCTTTCCATTTAAGTGTTGGATATAAAGGTATGCCTTTCTTTTTAACCTACATTTTTCTACAAATTATGTCAGAGAATGGTATGATTTTTTCCTGTTTATTTGTGACATGCTTTTCAGGGCCCCTCCAGTTTGTCTTCTGCCAAATGCACGTTACGAACAGGTCATGACTGCCTTTGGAGGCAAAGGGTATTTTGTACAAACACAAGAAGAACTCAAAGGATCCCTGAGGCAAAGCTTGGCGGATACAACCAAACCTTCTCTCATCAACATCATGATTGAGCCACAAGCTGAGCGGAAAGCCCAGGTAAATGTGAGGTTGCTGGAACACTCTGTTATTCAGAGTTTTCTTTCTAAACTATTTCTGAGTCTGGAAGTTTCATTTGTTTGTTCAGCAAATATTTGTTAAGATATACGTTAGGTGAGTGAAAAGAATAGCATGGTGAGCAAAACCAGGCTCAGCCTCCTCTCATGGAGCTAACAGCACAGGAAGGGAGAGGGACAGGCCAGTAGCCTTATGACTGAATAGTATGGCAGAGTGAGCAGCTTCTCTGAAGGAAAGGAACTGAGTTCTGAATGAGCATGCAACAAAGGAATCTGATTTATATGGTGATCACAGGGAAGGCTTCTCAGAGGAGGTGGTGCTTAAACTGAGATCCAGTGAATAAGTAGGGACAAACTCATCAAAGAGCTGGTGGAAGAGATATGTAAAGACTCTGTAGCAGGAAGGAATATGGCAAGTCTGAGGAGCTGAAAGAAGGCCACAGTGGCTAGCTGAAAGCATGCAGGAAGCACAGTGGGAGATGAGACTAATAGGATGATTGGTGCAATTACATTCAAAATTAGTTATTTTGGTCTCTAAAGCAAAGTGTGTCGCATGATCCTCTTCCATCCCATATTAAGTTGCTTTTCATACTTAATTTTGTACTCTGATCCTGCTACTTGCCCTCTTATATACCTGTCCTCCGTGCTTGCACATTGTGTATTAGCCATTGTTTTTAGAGCAGATGATTTTTTCAAGTAGTTTTTTACTTGGTTCTTTCTTCATATATCTGCTGTGAGATCTTTTTATTTTTGAACAAGACAGTGGGCAAATAGGCAAATGGACACTTGGACCATCAATGAAATGTAAATAAACTAATTTTGAGCTATAAAATATATATAATTCTACTGACATTCTCTTTCTGTAAAAACATATCAGAGATTTTGGCAAAAGGAACATATTGGAAATACAAAACAGCCAAAAAAACAATGAAATATGTAGCAAATAGTACATTCCTATCAGTAATTACTTTAAATGTAAATGGACTAAATTCTCCAATCAAAAGACAAAGTGAATGAATGGATAAAAACAAGAACAAAAAACCCACAGACCTATATACTGCCTACAAGAGACTCACTTCACATGTAAGGACATACACAGATTGAAAGTGAAGAGATGGAAAAAGATATTCCTTGCAAATGGAAACCAAAAGAAAGTTAGCGTAGGTATACTTGTATTAGACAAAATACACTTAAAAATAAAGACTGTAATAAAGACAGAGATGGACATTACATAATGATAAAGGGGTCAGTCCAACAATATGATATATCATTTGTAAATATCTATGCATCCAACATAGGAGAACCTAAATATATGAAGCAAATATTAACAAACCTCAAGGGAGAAATAGACAGCAATACAGTAATAGTAGAGAACTTTAATACCCTACTTAGATCAATGGGTAGATCATCCAGATGAAAAATAAATAAGGAAACATGGCATTAAATGACATGTTAGACCAGATGGACTTAACTGATACATACAGAATGTGTAATCCAAAAGCAATAAAATACACATTTTTTCCCAAGGGCACACAGGACATCTCCAAGAAAGATCATATCTTAGGTTACAAAACAAGTCTTCATAAATTTAAGAAGACTGAAATCATACGAAACATCTTTTCCAACCACAATGCTATAAAAGTACAAGTCAATTACAAGAAGAAAACTAAAAAATTCACAAATATGTGGGGACTAAGCAGCATGCTACTGAACAACTAATGGGTCAAAGAAGAGTCAAAAGAGAAATTAAAAAATACTTTTAAAGACATATGAAAATGGAAACACAACATACCAAAACTTATGCAGAAAAAGTAGTTCTAAGAGGGAAGTTCACAGCAATAAATGCCTACCTCAGGAAAAAAAAGGCTTGGAACTAGAAAAAGAACAAAGCCCAAAGTTAGTATAGTAGTCTACCCCTAGCCAAAGTTTTGCTTTCCATGGTTTCAATTACTCATGTTCAACTGTGATCTGGAAATACTAAATGGAAAATTCCAGAAATAAACAATTCATAAGTTTTAAATTGTGCACCATCTAAGTAACATGATGAAATCTTGCACCTTCCCGCTACAAGCTGCATGGATTGTGAATCATCTCTTTGTCCATCGTATCTGCCCTATATATGCTAACAACACAGTAGTCACTTGAAGGTGTAGCCAACTTCAGATTGACTGTCACAGTATCGTAGTGCTTGTGTTTAAGTAACCCTTATTTTACTTAAATATGGCCCCAAAACCATTCACATAACTTTTATATTGTTATTACTGTTCTATTTTGTTAGTAGTTCTCTATGAATGCTGGGGGGTATTCCTGGAGAAATACAAGATTTTATTTCTTTTATAATTCCATGAGGATTATTCTTCTATTTCTTTGCATCTCCGTCTTTGACGTTTACCCTTATTCCAGTAGAATTCCATACATATTAGTTTCCAAGCTGTTGATTTTCATTGATCATCTGTGTGTCCATTCACTGTTTGTCACTGATTTGCAGTGTAGGCTGACTGCTTCCTGCTGTAATACCGGGAGGACCTAATCCCTACAGTCACCTATGTCCAGGCTAGAATGGTGTTGGTCCTGGGAAAGACTTTTGTGCACTGCTCTTCCTACCCAGGTTCTTCTTGGACCTGGGAGCTTGATCCCCTTTGGGTCTCCATTTCCTCCCTTCTTTTGTGTGTACTTCTATTTCTTTTAGACTCTATTAATGGGAGAGGACCCAGAAAGTCATTTTAGGTTGTTTTGTAGGACAAAACAGAAAGGTTCACTCTGGATTTTTTTAGCTCCTGTTTGGGTAAAGCACTAAACCAAAGACAAACCTTATTTACCACCATGGTGGTAAATGTGATTATAATGGGACTTTTAGATTCTAGAACAAGGAAAACACTGAGGGTATTGTTTGAGACAGTTATTTCTTTCAACTGAATATTTGTTGTCTTTTCTTTTTCTAGGATTTTCACTGGCTGACCCGCTCTAATATGTAAATAAAGATGTCATAAGTGGTCTTCAGGAGTTTTTTCTTTCCTGTAAGAAGGAATTTTCTTTTCCACAGCAAAATAAGTATAATGTTAAAATTGTTGTACAAAGATAAATAAAAAACATTTCTAAATAACATTATATAATAATTGATTAAAAACAGAAAGAAAAAGTTACCAGTATTCAACTATAGGAATAACCATTTACAGATAAAGGATTTTATTAAAGAATAGCATTGTAACAGTTACCCACTGAGTTAACACAGTGTTCTTTTAATAAATGCATTCTTAAAGTCATTTATTTTTTAAAAACATTTTTGAAGAAGAAAGCTTGGAGTACACAGGCTATTTCCTCTTTATAGTTTATTTGTTGACCACTTCATACCTTAGTCTCCCCAGTATTTAGTGGGGCTTATTCCACACTTGTTGAGTTGGGGTTTTGTTTTTTCTTTTTTCTGGAAAGAATTTATTGAGCCAAAGGAGAAGTACACTACACCAAAACTAATAATTTCAGGGTATATTTGGATTAGTAACTTTTGTTTAGGTGTACCTCATCAAGACCAGCAGGGTCAACAGCCTTAATATATAAAGAACTCCTATAAATAAGAACAGTATTAATGCACTAGTAGAAAAATGGGTAATGAGCATGAATGTATAATCAACAGAAAAAATACAGATGGTCAATAAAAGAATGATTATTATGAATAAGTACAAATATGTTAGACTGGAAAGCCTTATTTTTGCTTATCCACTTGGCAAAGCACTTTTCTTTGGGCAGAAGCACTTTTATTATTTTTTTAATCCTCACCCGAGGATATGCTTTTATTGATTTTAGAGAGAGAGGAAGGGAGAGGAAGAGAGAGAGAGAAACATCGATGTGAGAAAGAAACATCAGTTGGTAGCTTCCTGTACGCACCCCAACCGGGAATTGAATCTGAGACCTCTCAGTGTATGGGACAGCGCTCCAACCAACTAAGCCCACAGGCTAGGGTGGTAAATCTCTTTCTAAAGTATAATTCTCAGCGTGCATGAGGGTGAAGTGAAGTGGGCACTGCTGTGCTGTGGTGGAAGCTGGAATTGGTACAATATTTCTACAGAGTAGTTTTAGCTGCGCTTGTTTTGGAATTTTAAAAATATACATACCCATAACTTTGACCCAGTGAGCTTAGCTAGAGAATGTATCCTAAAGAAATAAAATGTTTGGTCAAATAGTTACATATAAGACCATTCAGCATAGTTTTATTTAGGAACCACCCCAATGTTTAATAAAAAGATACTGGTTACATGCATTATGATCTATTGTCATCACAAAATAAAAATTGTGTTACAGAGTATTTACTAATGGAGAAATAATCACAGGATAATACTACATGGAAAAGGCAAGCTACAAAATGGATGAGCCCAAATCAGATGTACACCTGTACCCATGCACACATATACACAGAGAAAAAAGATGGGCACAAAATAAACCTCAATTTTACAATAACTCAGTGCTGGGATTATAGGCCATTTTTATTTATTCTTCATTTTTTCCTTCTTTTACAAAATTTGGAAACAGAAATAATCTTGTAATTTTTATTATCAGAAACAGACATTGCAGGCATACCTCGTTTTACTGTGCTTTGCTTTATTGTGCTTCGCAGATACTGCATTTTAAGACCTTCCACCAGCAAAAAGATTACGACTTGTTGAAGGTTCAGATGATGGTTAGTATTTTTAGCAATAAAAGTATTTTTAAATTGAGGTATGTACATTGTTGTTTTTATTAGACATAATGCTGTTGCACACTTAATGGACTACAGTGTAGTGTAAACATAACTTTTCTATATGCACTGGGAAACAAAAATACTTGTGTGACTTGCATTATTGTGATATTTGCTTTATTGTGGTGGTCTGGAAATGAACCTGAAATATGTCCAACATATGCCTGTATTTTAAAAGCATATTAGAGCCCTAGCCAGTTTGCTCAGTGGTTAGAGCTTCGGCCCTCGGACTGAAGAGTCCCAGGTTCGATTCCGGCCAAGGGCACATACAGGCATGCACCTCGGTTGCAAGCTATCCCTTGCCCTCAATCGATGTGTCTCCCTCACACACATCAGTGTTTCTTTCTCTCCCTCTTCCACTCTCTCTGAAAAGCAATGGAAAAAATATCCATGGGTAAGGATTGAAAAAATAAAAATTTAGAAATGGAAAAGTATCACTTACTTTCAGGAGCATTCTTGTTTATTTTCTACAATTTTATATGAATTGGAGCATAGGACTTTATATTAACCTTGCTGACCAGTTATTTTGAGCCAGAACTTGCCTGTTCGGCAGCCTCTTTTCATCATGACTGATCCACAAGGTGTTTAAAATTACTTAAATTAATGTAAGTGCAGGCACAAGTTATCTTGTGGCCAGTCAGCAGTGTTTGGACCAGAAACAAGTGTGTCCTCGTGACCGGTCAGCAAGGTGTTAAGTTCAGTTTGTTCACACTGTCCATATTAGAATTGTCTCCATCGGCTAGTTAGGGGCATAAGTGACCTCCACAAAGTGGTGGACTACCGTTTTGTGACGTGCACCTAGGAGACACTTGCAGGGATCTGTGGTTTTTCCCGACAACCCGGAAATGAGGCGCAGTTGGCAGGGACTCAGTGTATTTCTAAGACACACAGCAGAGAGCCTGCGCTGCGTAAGAGCAGAGAGAGTATCAAAAGGAGCTTGGCGGGCAGGGAGCTCGTGTAACCTCACCAGGATCCTGCTCTGCCCAGGGTCTTTTGCCTCTGGCAGCTGAGTGCAGTACAAGATGTTGCTGTAAGGTAGTGTGGAAGGTTTGATGAGTATTAGTAAATTGAACTATGGAAGTCTAAACACTAAATATAATTTGGGGAAAATGCCCTTTCTCTAGCCATATTATCTCAAGAGAAAAAAACATGTTGGCAGGTTAATAGACAGTCCAGCAGAGGTCAGTCTGAGCATATAAAGACCAAATCAGTCCTGTAGCACTTGGATAACAAGTCTATTGAATGCTTATTTTGTAAAGGTACCTCGAAATTAGTCTCCTTATAGGAATGTTTCTTTAGCAGGATAATATATCAAATAAGCCCCTCTAAAATGAATCTGTTGGTAGCCAAAACTCACTTTGATAAACATTTTGCACCCCCTATTTTAATAACACTCTTATGTGATCCTAATATGTTGATACTTGAGCCTCATAAAAACTAAACTTTGAAAGATTGTGGCTGTTTTCTTAACTTAGGAAAACTAAGAATCTAAGGTGGGCCCGCCCTGGCATGGCTCAGCAGTTGAGCATTGGCCTAGGATCCAGGAGATCGCAGTTCAATTCCCGGTCAGGGCACATGCCTGGGTTGCGGGCTTGATCCCCAGTCGGGGCCCAGCGGGAGGCAGCCGATCAATGACTCTCTCATCATTGATGTTTCTATCTCTGTCCCTCTCCTTTCCTCTCTCTGAAATCAATAAAGATATATTTAAAAAAAAAGAAAAAAAGAATCTAGGGTAGGAAATGACCTCTTAGAGTTAGTTTCTCTACTAATATTCTTTACAAAATCTCTCATACTTCATGGGGTTGTTTGGGCACTCAAAAAGCTTTCCAGAAGCTTCTAACCTAATGCCTGGCATATGGAAGGCACTCAATAAATGCCACTGTTTTAGAAAGATGTGACCTTAGAGAAGAGGAGAATACTGCTGGAATTACATCCTGTTTAGCAATGTGGTTTCGCTTTTCAAGTAAGTGGGTCTTCTCCAAGTAGATTAGTCATTTCCTGGAAAACTGCCGTGTGTGTTCACTCCCTAATAGAGCCACCTGCTCTGCAGGGGTTCACTAAATAATAGTTGAGTGAGAATTCATGATGGCTGGAAATAGCTCAGTGGGTATTTTCTATGGTTATTTTACATATGTACCTTTGAAGTAGCTCAGCTTATGTGAACTGAGTATATTTTCCTTAGGAAAAAGTTTCAAATCTGTTACAGAAAAATAATAGGAATATTGAACACTGCAAGAAAATGAAAATAATATTAAATCCAAAAATATTTGTTTCTTTACTGTTTTCTAGACACTTAACTAGGCAGTGGGGAGGCAGTAAATAAATGCAAATTTAGAATGACTAGGATAGAATTTCATATGACTATATTAAGAAAGTTGGAAACCAGTTAAATTCCAGTTGAGAAAGATGATTGGACGGAAAGCAGCCACATACTCAACCTGAAAAGCTCAGGGCATGCCTACATGGCGGCCTTGTGAACTCAGAGACCTAAAATAACCACAAGGGATGGTCTGAAATGAAAACTTTTTTCTTTTTTAAATATATCTTTATTGATTTCAGAGAGAGGAAAGGAGATGAAGAGAGAGAGATAGAAACATCAATGATGAGTCATTGATCGAGCCCACAACTTGGGCATGTGCCCTGACTGGGAATTGAACCCTAATCGCCTGGATCCCAGGTCGACGCTCAACGGCTGGAAATGAAAACTTTTTAAACTTAAGCAGTCTACCGTGGGTAGTCATGTCCTGAGGCAGTCTTTTTCCCTAACAAAAGTAAAATTTTCACCTTAACTAAGCCTGTGGTTGTCTTTTGCATCTGAGATAACAATATCTGATTAACATATGCCTTTGAAACCAAAGCAGTTTCCCATTTTCCCCCCAGACCTTAATGAATTCTTTAAATCAGTTCTTCCTTTCTCTTATCTAGAGGCATTGGCTAGTACCAGAACAATGCTAAATAATACCTGTGACTGCAGGCACGCACCATTTACCATCACATGTCTTTTATCTGCCTTCTTCCTTCTGGAGGAGCAAAAGATGACAAGAAAATCTCTTTACAAGGAGTTTCTGAGGCTGCAGCGTTTGAATGTCTTCCCCAAAGCACATAATGAGATGGGAAAAGAGCCCCTAACATTTCCAAGTGGGCGCTTGTGCCAATAAAAGGTGACTTCTCGGCGAATGAATTGGGGCTAGTTGGGATGCTAATTGTTTGTTGCCTAGACTGTCTTCCTTCAAGGTGCTGAGACAAATGATGAAGAACATATTGCGAAATCTGTTTCTCTGTGGACCCTGAGAATAAAGATTCACTTGATGTGAACCTCTAGAAGGAATTTATCTGCTGAGATGGACTCCCCATGGTCAGCCCAGGACCCAAATTTTATAAATAATAAGAATCTAGCAGCCATGTGCTGACGGGCTCCTCATCTACTCTGTATACAGGGAAAAACCTCAGTCTGAACTCTCGGCCTCCCGCACATGCCCTGCTTGTTTAAGCCGCCAGAGTCAGCCACTGCGGGGAAGGCCGCCTTTTGTCTTTTGACTGACGGACTGAGACCTGCTTTGTGCAATCAGATCTGCACAATTATACCCTTATTTGCATTTATACCAACCAAACAGAGCTGCTCTGTAACAACCAGTCTGAACTGCATGATTCAGACCAATCAGAACTTAGAATTTGGAAGCCTCACTTGCATAAAATTGGGCCATTTGGGAACCTGGGCTGGAACTTTATAAATGGTCATCTCCCCTTTGTCTCAGCGGAGGGTACTTTTGGTTTCTGCGGGACGATGCCTATGGAACTGTTTCACCTGAATGAAGTCTCTATTTTTCCCGACCTCTTTGGAAATTTTGGTTTACACTCTGTAGTCTTCACCTTCAAATTCTCAGACCAAGCTCCCCTATGTGAGTCAGCAGAAGGCTACCTCCTTTCCTCCCTCCTTGATCCCACAGTGATATGTGTAAGGTTAGGGCCACCAGTGGGGAGGGGTATTGATTTATTCCAAGTCCTCTGCCCAGCTCTGGCTTCAGAAAATGCATTATCAACAACCCCTGAAAATTGTCTTCAGGGGGGAAGGTAATAACATATACCCTTAATTCCACACTGCAATTCTCCACACGCTGTCTGAACAATGCGTTAGCCCAGCGTGTTCATTTGCTGGGGCTGCCATAACAAAGTACCACAGGTTGGGTGGCTTAAACACAAATTTCTTTTCTCACAGTTCTGGAGGCTAGAAGACAAAGATCACGGTGTCCATAGGTTTGGTTTCCTCTCCCCTTGGCTTGCAGATGGTCACCTTCTAGTGTCCTCATATGGTCCTTCCTCTGTGTACACACATTCCTGTTGTCTGTCTTTTTATAAGGTCCAGTACTGACAAATGACCTGTGAAATATCCATTAATTGGCTGCAGCCAATTTTCTCTGGTGTGCTCTAATGGGAGGGAGCTGTGGCATGGATAATACCAAACAGTAAATAATCTAAAAATAATATCTATTTGGTTTGGGAAAGCAGCACGTGACTTCCCAGCTGCCAACTGGTCTGGCTAATCCAGTTTGGCTCAAATGAATGTGCGTTTTCCTGAGTTTACACTGACAGCCCAGGCCTGTGCCGAGGTGTGGAAGAAAGGTGGCCAAGCTAAATGTTGGCTGTGGCCAGGTCCCCAGTGGGCAACAGACAGGCTGTCAAAGGCACACAGTGATTATATGGGCAACGGGACAGAGCTGTCCTGACCCTTTACTCTGTGAGGGTTGAGGGCCAGACCAGACAGTATGCCTGACGTGGAAGGAGTTGGGCATGTGGTAAAGAGAGCCTGGGGGAGACAGGTGGGTGCCAAGGCACGCACCGAGCCACCAGCTCACACAGGGGACTCTGCAGCCTCACATTTACAGGCCAGATTTACTGCAAGGTGCCTTACATGTGTCATTGCATTTAAAGCTAAAACCTCTGCAGCTGCATACTTACGGTTGCCTTGGCGAGAGGCAACTC